GTATGATTTGTTGTTATTGTTGTCAAACCAACAAGTTAATTTAAAGCATTTAAAACATTTGAACCTTGAAAATATTGTTCTATAGTCCTGGTACCTGATTTCTTGCCTAATATAGACAGTCATTTTGGTGCAAGGATGTCAAATGAAATGTCATTTCAGTCCCAAGCCATCATGTGGCTGTATATAGCTTGTTGACAGAAAAGGAGGTTCTCCTACAGAAGTTCTGAAAGAAATAAGTTGCCATTTGTGAATACACATATCACACAGAGTTGAAAGTCAAAGAAATGCCTCTCAGCATTGAGTTTGATGTCTTATGCATGCACATGTGTAAGTGATAAGTGATGACTCATTTCTTTTGTAAAAAGATTATTCATTCACATCTGTGTCCATGACTGATAACAGATTGGTGGGGGTCCTTTCAAAAACAACCAAAAAACCACTTTACATGCTCAAGAGAACTAGTGGCTTTATTACTTTTTATTTCTTGTGCCAAGTGAGAAAAGCAGCTCTTCTAGTTAATTTGAGTTTAACTCTTCCTTGTTTAGTAGAGTTAGAAGCAGAGCCAAATGAGATCATTGTTTGTGCATGGCACAGGCTGTCAGTTTATTTGCCAGCAATTCAGCAAAAGGAAACAGTTAGCCTAGCTTGACAAAGATCAGGCAGTTTGATGACAGACTTGAAAGTAAATAATGGGTATAAAGAGCATAAATTGGAACTGAAAGTAAAGTTATTTCAATTCCAGGGTAATGTGCACTCAGTAGGGCATAAACTATAAGCTCTTGGAAAGCCTTCAGGGTGGAAACTCAAATCTAATTTTCCCTTTAGTGGATACAAATGGTTTGTGTGCATAGTTCCTGTCCACGGATACTCTTTTATGGCTAAGAACTACACAAACAGGAATATCTGTTCATATGGAACCCAAGATTCCCATATGGACATAGGAAGATGGGATAGCCATTTGTAAAAGTCTCCATGCAAAAAAAGAGATTGAACTCCAAGCTCTGAATCCATAGATAGGACATTTATCTATGTACTGTACAGCTATGCTCCCTCCCATCACTGTTAATCACAGAATACTACCCCTTTTATGGAAAATGACTTTCTTGACATGAAAAAGCATTATTTCTACATATGAGTACTCATGAAGAACTTTACCCATGTCATTGAAACATACAGATGGCAGGAAAGTGTTTTCACTGAAGATGGCAAGAGAAGGAAACTAGTTGCACCATTCCATAGCCTTACCTCCTACATGCTTTTGATATGGGGCTAATTAGAGAAACTCCCATTACTCAAATTCCATTTCAAATCAGCCAAGCAAGATGTATTTGAGTGGGTCAATATAGCCTAAATGGCTGTGTTTTAAATTTATATTGTTTGCTTCAAATGGTCTATATATAAATGCTTGTTTCAAATGTGCTATATATTAATACTCAGTGTATGGGAAATACAAATATGCCTTTATTACAGGAAGGTGTCTAAAACAACTGTGATGTGTTGGGATGATTCTCCTGACTGGAATACAACAGTTAAAGGATAGAATCAGTTCAAAAGAACAGAAGCAAAAGAGTCAGGTTTGCATAATAAGTTTAAAATATCCCCATTTGCATTAAAAGCTAAACTTGCTAGTCCTGTTGAAAAGCATCTAGGATAAATTCATGTAAGAAAGAATAAAGGCAATAGCTTTCCTGGTGTCCACTACCAGTTATCCAAGGAGGAGATATGGATGATGCTTTCTGAAGCCAAACTGCAGAACTTTCAGGGAGAGATGAAACTGTAATTACCTGAACATCTATTGGGACACAAATTCTGCCAAGTATGGTGATTCTTTCAGGAAATTCCTGAACTGTGTGCTGGCAGCTTTCTCCTTCAGATGATAGAGGAAACACAAGGGAATCGGTGTCCTTAACCTAATCCTATTCAGAAGGAAAGACTTTGTACACAAACTAAAACTATTGGGAATGTGGAAAAATGACTGTATAGTCAGGGATTCTTGATATTAAGTCAAACTATAATAGAGTGTGGGCAAATGCATACCTTGGAAATCAAGAAAGAAAATAAATGACTTGGGTGTATGTCAGGGATGTATGTCCACTCTTTGAGGTACTCCAGACAAGAAATCAAAACCACGACTAGTAATGCTACCTTTATTGTAAGATTAAAGTAATAGAATCTTGCAAATTTGAAAGCACTTCCCCCTCCCCTGCCTTTACTTTCCAGAGAACTAAGGAGGGGCCCTTCTGAGATGTTTTCTCCACTCCCATTCCTGCTTTGGACTCAGATTTCTCTTATGAGAGAAATTATCTTCCTTTATTAGACACTACATTCCATAACTTTCTAACTGACATAATTGTTTCCAGAATTACTAATGTTCTAGTGTATTTAGATTCTAATACTGTCCATCTAACCAAAGGTGCTATATACAGTATGTATATTCCAAAGTTCCCCAAATTGGAAAATTAACACCAATTCTTGGTTTCCAGTATTTAATACTTGACAATAAGTAAGCATGATGATATTGCTCTAGATTCGGAAAACCAAACTCTCCCTCATTAATTGATAACTGGATTTTCTGTAAAGATATTCTCAGAATCAAAGAATCCCATAGAAATTTTCTATGGAACTAGCTTCTTCAGTCTTCTCCCTCAGAGAATGCGGAACAGGGAAATGTGGGCTCATCTTCCCCTGACTCCACAACTGGTTTTGTCAGGGAGATCTCAAAGAAGATCTGAGAGGGCTTGAATGGAATACCCTGAGAATCAGAAGGATCTCTCCCTTGCAGTTGGTGAGATATTTTGTAAACAAATGGTTATTCACTAGCCACCTATCTATATAATAAAGATTCCCCAAATCTATGACTCAAGTAATTGAATTTCTTTGGGTTTTGGCAATTCTTCTTCTTTCTTTTTCAAAGCTTCTAGGTGTTTTGCCTAAAATATATCATTTTTATATTCATGCTGTTTCTGTTTTCAAGAAACAAAGCTTGGAGGAGGCAAGACCCAAATGGAAGATTTCCAGGAGTAAATGTCTGAAATAAAAACAAGGATATGTTGGATAATACTAAGAGAAATTTATTTAGCATATTTGTTTTTTGCTGTTGTAAGATTGATTCATTACTGTGAATGGTCTTAAAGACTTGGATGAATAATAAAATGAAAAATAAATAGGTAATAATTTGTGGCAGAGGTTTTCACAGTTCAGATACCTTAGGCACCTCATTACACTTTTCCTAAAGAGTTTCTTCTGCAGTTGCATTAGAAAGGAGTTCAGAATATATGGAATAAGAAAGTGATGAAAAAATGATTTGTCATTTATTGAAATTTCCATAACATGGTACTTTCCAGTTGTGCCAGGAGTACATTCCCTGCCAACAAATTGCAGAAGGCTGATCTACCTTCTCCACTAACAATCCTTGTTATATAAGATATTTTATTACAGCATACAAAATGCCAAACTTATATCATATTGGAATTCCTAACCAGATTGCTACGGACATCACCCAGCATGAGTGATTCTATTCCACTACTTTCCCAGGCTTGCTACTATGTAGTAGATTTTGTTTAAATAAATACATGAATAAGGTATTGCAGAATCCTGAATGTGTTCATATATGACATAAAAAGGAACAGCGATACCTTCAAGTTGAACTCAACTCCTAGCAACTGCATCCTTGTAGGGTTTGTTTGTTTGTACTAGGAAATGATTTGTCATTGCCTTTTTCAGGTATTTCTTTAACTTCCCAGTCTAGCTAGCATGTGATATATAATATCTAAATCAATACATCTGGCCATGTGAGTAGATGTGTCCCTATGAAGGAAGAGTTGTGCCTTTCTCACTTGCTTTTGATGCTGCAAGTATTAGTATCTGATTTATTATATAAATATTTTTAAAGAAAACTTGTAAGCAATCATTTGTTCACTAGACTTCTTCTTGTAGTTCTGATTGGTGGAATGGCTGTAATGTACTCATCCAACAGTCTACCATGTACATCATAAGCGAAGAATATATACTTAAAGTTACATGGTTTGAGCTCAAGAACATATTTATTTGCAAGGGGAAAAAAAGCATTTCAAAGTAACTAATTGTGGAAGACACACGTGCTTTGTACATGTGCTGCAGGTTGCACAGTTAAAATGTCTAGAAGTGTATTTCTGAATAATTCAATAATTGTATACTTCCTTTTCTCTTGTTCTGTGCCCTCAATTAATGTTAAAAAGGGGGTGGGTGGAGGCAGGAATGGTGACTTTTCTAGATTGCTTAAATGAAGTGTCAAAGCTGCAATTCTAATTATTAGAACAAATAGGCAGTGATAAAGCTGAATAATAAACAGGCTTTCTGCCTTTTAATGCTCTTTCTAACTACACATTTTTCTAGTCAGAAGTTTGTGGAAGGCAAATGAGACCAACTTCATGGCTCTTAGGAATTCACACCATCCTTTTTCTATTATCTATGCCCATATGAGAAAACAGTTCCTAATCTCACTAAGAATAAACAGAGTTTACTGCAAATTGGTGGCTCCATTGAGAACAGCCCAGTGAGAATTATATCTATGGAACAAAGGTGTGATCCATCAATGATTCTTAACAAAGAAAATCATATAATTAATTACGTAAAATTGAGACTTCCAGTTAAAACTCCTATTGAATTTTCATAATGACTTCCTGAAAAGTTATAAATAAACTGACTTGCTGAAAAGCTTCAGAAATTCAGAATCTCTCTATATTGAAGTATGACCAATCTTTATTTTCTAATTTTTACAGAAAACAGCATCTAAAAGTACATGACGTTGCTATTAACTCTTGCTGTATAATATGAATGCAGACCAATTAATATGGGCCAAGTGCATTATCAGTTTTATCAACAAATGTGACCCCTTGTTAAAGTAAATCTAACTTCAAGTAATCTATATTGTTGAACTGCTTTTAAGATTCTCCCACTATATGTGAAAAAGGATGCACTCTAAAGCAGTAAACAGTATAATAGATTCTCTCTTATCTGTGCTACAAGCTGCCTTGGAAGTTAGCCATTAAAGAATCTATTTCTTTAAACTGTTCTGTTATGCTCTCAATGCACTCTCCAGCCTTGAAAGCTTTCCCATCAATTATAATACAGTCTTCTTGAGTGTTGATTTCCATTGGTCTTCTTTCTTCACTAACTTCTGTACAGCAGTTAAGTATCTAGATCCAAAAAAGAAAAAAGATAAGGACCTCATTCATGTAGTGACTATATTACGTAACTTTGCAACTGTGTTTACTTGATCCAATAAGAAGAGATGGCTCATTATGTTCCCATAGCTAATGATTAGGTTCATACTTCCTGCTAAGCTATAACGCGGTTTGTCTTATTTTTGCTAAGCACATTGCATGACTCAGTCCATTGCAGTCTGCAAACAAGGTTTAATCTAGCTAGATGTGATAGTTAATAAACCATGATTTTATAACCATGGAACTATGAGATGTATAAATATAAATGTGAATCAAGAACCACAGTACAGTATTCATTTGGTGAATTAGCTAGCTGTTTCTTTATGGAAATGTGATCTCTCATCTGGAAATTCTGCACTAGATCCAGATCCTATTGTTGCTTAAAGATATCCAAATGAAAGAAATAGAACTAACCGAAAACCCATCAGCTTTAATGTACTGGATAGATTTACAAGTTTATTGCTGACACTTGGTTGTGTATAATTCATTTTTGAATTGTTATATTTATTGCTGTTCACTTGGTCTATTGTGAACACAATCTTGTGAATTGTGATCCAACTGGAATTTGTTGGAAAATGGAATAACAGATGTAATTAATATATAAATGAGTAAATCTAGTTGAAGACTTATGCTTCAACTAGACACATTTGCCACATTGCTACTGTTATGAGAACAGATTAGGTGAATAGCAATAATTATAACAACACAAAAAGCAAACAACTTAAAATACACAAACTGTTTAGAAGCTGGCCATGCTTTTTGTTCTCTATGTGATCCTGGAAATAGTCGGCAGATGCTGAATTCATGCATTAAGGTAAACTTGTTTGAATGAGGCATAAATAAATTAATATAGGATTGTTTTATAATAGTTGTTGAAAACATCCAGAAATTAGACATAAATAAACATTCATATAGCAGCCTTCTTCTTTATAAACAAACAATACAATTTGCTGACTCTCACATACACGTAGATCTCGAGTTACAACTGCAATTGGGACTACGATTGCTGTTGCTAAGCGATGCAGTCATAAAGTGAGATGTCACTTGATCATATTGCTTAGCGACAGTGATCCAGGCAGTCTGGTTGTTGTCCTAACCCAAGATGTTCAGGTCGTTAAGTAGGATGAGGAGAGAGTCCCAGGTAAGGAGCAGGGGGTGCCATGGTGGGTGGGGAAGGCCCTGGGAGGCCTGGTACAGGCTGCGAGAGAGTTAGGGGAGGGGGTGCTTGGTGAGGTGCAAGCTCAGAAGCACTGGGGAATTAGAGCCCAGGGTGCATGCGATTGCAGGGAGGCCAAGAAAGAGGGTACAGGTTACATGTATGCATGTGTGCAATTGCAGGGAGGCCAGGGAAAGAGAGCATGGGGGTGCGTACATGCGAGCGCAGGGAGGCCAAGGAAAAAGGGCGTGTGGTGGGTGCAATCACAGGGAGGGCATGGAAAGAGGGCATGGTTGTGTGTGCAAGCACAGGGAGGTCGAGGAAAGAGGGTACAGAGTACGTGCAAGTGAAGGGGGGAAGGAGGGCACAGTGCATGCAAGCAAGGAAAGGCTGGGGGAGAGACTTATCCCAGCAATTTGCGACCTTCCTTGCCAGCTTCCCATTGACTTTGCTTGTGGGAAGCCGGCAGGGAAGGTTGCAGAGGGCGATCATGTGATTGCGGGGCACTTGTAAGTGTGAACGGGTTGCCAATCACCCAGATCATGATCACATGACCACAGGGGTGCTGGGATGGCTGCAATTTCAAGAACCAGTCGTAAGTCTCCTTTTTCAGCACTATTGTAACTTTGAACAGTCAATGAATGAATGGTTGTAACTCAAGGACTACCTGTATTCCTTCTGCCTCTTTAAAAATGTACTAAGTGTGGCAGGATAGTATTAAAATAACAGTTGTTTGTTGTTATGCTCAAAATAAAAAGCTCATTGGTCAATATACTGGGATCCCACTGATAAATATTTTATTTATTCACTAAAAAAAATTAATTTAAAAAATTAGATCTATATATTTCTACTTATTTGAAGGGCACAAGCTTTTATTTCTCAGATTAACAGTGAAACTGTTTATTTTCATGTTTGGAGTGAACACTTTTTGCAAATGAATTCTGCAAATGAATATCTTGGTAAATATTTCAAAATCTAAAATCAGCCTAGTCCCATATATGTTTATCTAAAGTAAGTCTCACTGATTTCAGTGGGATTTACTCTTGGGTAAGCATGCATAGAATTTCAGTTTTTTTCTTCTAATTAGTAGCAATTCCTGGACTTGCAATGAATAATTCATACCTCTTCTGTCTCATTATTGTCCTCTCCATCCCCAGATGATTCAGAAGGCTTGGAGGTGACTACTACTTGATTGAGAATTTTGTCTAAATCTTTCAGTATAATTTCTGTCTCGGTTACAACTAATAAAATACAATAACATTTTCACTAAAAATATACAATGTACATTACTACAATTCTATGTATTGCTCAATTTACTTCAACTACAGGCATTAACTGGAAATGGCAATCATTACAACTCATTTTTTTAAATGTTTCATATGTTAACCTGTCAATAAAAATGTATTGTTAAAATTCAGAATAACTCTACTGATATGAAACTCCTTCCAAATGAATGCATCTGAATTACTGGGGGATCGTTTCCAAGTTTAATTGAGTGGGAACATAGATTCTATCAATGACATATTTTCACCTAAAATACAAAAGAATACCTTTTTCTAGAAATCCACAATTGTTAAGGAAGAATAAGTTATTGGTTCATAATAAGCAATAAAATGGGCATATATCCCCTGATTCGTGTTAGGGCTTAGTGTGGAACTTAGCCAACCTCTCCAACCTTGAAAGCTTTCCCATCAATTATAATACAGTCTTCTTGAGTGTTGATTTCCATTGGTCTTCTTTGGGAAGGGGTGAAGACCCGTGAAGAAGAGAAAGGCTACCACTCAGTGAGCCAGAAGAACTCACAAGGAAGTGGTATCTAACATGCCAGTGCTTTTGTTCTATTTAACTTAACACTGTTTTGCTCTCTGTCCCACTGATTTCAGAGGTATTTAGGATTAACAAGATTGGATCCAAATTTGTATGACTAATCTGCATGAGGGCAGGAATGGACATTCTGCATGTCAGACAAGGGTTATAACCTCTATGTTAGTGAGAAAGATCTGCTATAATACAAGCAGGAAATGGAAAATTGCAAGAAAAGAATTTTTATTTTAAATGTGATTGTTATGCCTCCATGTATGTGCACTTCAATACTTTAAGATATGTATGTGTATATGCTTATGTGTGTGTGTCCAGTACAATCTGCCTATGGAAAGAAAAGTAATTGAAAATTGTTTTCATGGAACAGAAGGTTAGGAAGGCACAGCAGCAGGGAATCGACCAAGAGCAGGATGTGGTGGCCTGCAATCCAGACTGAATACCTTACAGGCTGCTACCAAAATGTTTCAATCCAAATAGGGTTTTCTTAAATGGTATTTTCAGGAATATATTATATTTTTGCTACACAGTATTTTCCTGATTTTGGATACAATTCATACACATTGAAGCCAACAGCCAGATGATACTTTTATTAAGGATATACATCCTGAATTTATAGGGAAAATAAAGGAGTTAAACTTTAGTTTACAAATTTAATTAACAAAACAGATGATAATAAATATCATCTCCTTTGATGTTAACTAATGCCATTCCTATTGTGTTTTAAGAACAAACAGGGCAGCAGAAAAGGTTTTACTTAAAGCACTCTATTACTGTTTGCAAACATGTCTACTATAAAGGTTTTGCATACTATTTTAAAAATATTTATTAAGCCATTTTTACTTTGGAAAATCAGTGAAAATCACAGCAATTCATATGCCAGCTATTAAAAGAAAGTTATTTTGAATGTAGAGTACCCTGAAAAACTACTTTTTCAGTAGGATAATTGAATAAGACAATATGAAGTTCATATCTGTATGCTTTCCTGCTTACTAATGGAGCTGTTTACACTTTATAGATACTGTAAAATCTTGAAATTAATGCATCATCTATCTTCAGATTATCAAGCCATTATCTGATAACTGCAACTACTATGTTAATCCACAGGAAAAACAGATGACTTACTATAATGAACTAGTACCCCTAATTTGCTAATTTATAAATTAAGATAGATGTATATGGTACAAGGAAGACCATACATTTCAGATTGTTCATTGTTACATTATTCTACTTTCAGTGTGTACAATTTACAGAATGTTTGAATTGGATGGAATTCACTTCTAGGTCTTGAAGAATTTATCCAATTGTACAGTAATTCAACAGAAGCCTTTTTCCAAGGGCTATCTTAAGATGATGCCAAATGTCTATGTGGAGAGCCTTCTCAATTCCCAGTAATGAAACACACTCTTTAACTGTTCAGTTTCTTGCACACACACATACGTCAGCTGGTTCCAGGTTCATAATAAGTTTTAAAAATATGAGCAACTCTCCTTCCCAAGACTATTACTTACACACATGCATTTTCTGTTTCCCCTTATATATTATGCTATCTATGTTATGATATATGTGTGTCACATGACCATTTCTAAATTTTAAACAAAGGTTTTGAATTTAGTATTTTCAACCAGTTGTAGGCTGAGAACTATGCTTATTTCTCCATTGTCTGTGCTTGTTATAATGGTGATTGCAATACAGCCTAGGAAAGGATTGTATTTATGTAGTGCCATGATGCTATGCTGAATCATGGCAAAGCTGCTGCTGATCATCTTTCACCCTTGTTTTTCCTTATTTTTATCTTTGTCACTTGAATATTTCTGTTAAAATTTCCAGGACCAGGCAAACTGCCAACATCTGGTCCTTGAGACTGAGCAGAGGATTTATAAAAGATATTCAATTATATATTTTTCACTTAAAGAAATGCAATTTACTTAGAATAATAGCTAGCAATAGCTGCTGTGATCTGTACTTTTGAACTGGTAGGTAACATTAGACATAGTATGGAAAATCATTAGAAAGGGCACATTCTGCTGTGTGGGTATTATATTTTTGGATACCTAAGCAAGATCTATGTAGTAAAAAAAGAACTTCAGACCATGGAAATAACTTGGATTTCCATCAGCACAAAAACGCATACTGGAGGATTTGGATTGAGTTGTCAATGTAACAAGTGTAAACAAAATCATAATTAGCCGAATGTATTATTCTGTCCTTGATCAGACAGAAGATAAGGCTGCTAGATGATACAATAGATGATACAATAGAAACAAAGCAATTATTATTTACCTCCCTCTCTTCTTTCCAACAAAGTTGTTGCTAAGCCAGTTCAAGAGGTTGCCATGTGGCAGCTAGTAAATGAATGAATTGTGGGTAAGCACTTTACTAATCAATATTGCACATTTCTTAAGTACCATGTTCCCACAGCATCAATTTGTATTTCATACCACATCACCAATCATGAACATAAGCAATGTCATGCAAAGCTCAGAAGAATGAGAAGTAGATGACAAAAGAAATGAAAGGCCAAAGGTAAGAGAAAAAGAAATCAAAAGTACACCAACACTATTCACTATATCTTTCATACTTTCTACCCTTATAAATCTTCCTTACTCCCATCACATCCATTTGTCACTTCATATACTTTCTGTTGTTCTCTAAATTCCTCACCTCTTTTTCTGAGGATCTCATCCATTTAATTCATCCAAGACTTTCTCTCTGTCTTTTTTCCCCTCAAACCTCCCCTCATTTACTCTCCTTTCATATTTCTGTTTTCCAGTTCAACCCTCATACATTCTTACTATATGAATTCCATATCTCATAGGATTCTGTTCCATTCTTTTTCTACTGGTCATTTATTCAACTATTAGCACCTGTTCGTTCATGACCTTATCTTTTCCAATTTTATCATACATGCTTCTTAAGTACCACATTCCCACAGCATCAACTTACATGTTTCTCCTGACTTACCCAACTCTCATTGCTGTATAACCAAAGAGGCAGAAACATTCTTACAAACATTGATTTTCATTTCTTTCAACAAGCATTCATTCCATGACACACACCACATACCACTCATTCCATTTCTACTGCACTTCCACACCTTAAAAGTCTCCATCTATTTCGCCATCTTCAGTCAGCATTTACTGAGATATACAAATCTACCTACTTTGTATAGTCTTTCACTATTTATGTATAACTTGCATTTTTTGTTCCATTTTGTTTGTCATAGACAACTACCTTAGTCTTAAGTACATAAATGTTCCAATGCACACTCCTTATGCAATCAATCTAACTTTTATTGAAACTCATTAGGGCCAACCAACAGTATCATCATCAGATTACAGTATCTACACAGTCATTTCCCCAAACATACCTCTAAGAAACATGCCTTATGTATGTATCATAAATATATTAAACAACCAAGGGGACATCATATGTCTTGTCTTACTTTCTGCTTAATGTTGGACCATTCACTAAGCATTCCATATGTTTTACTTCCACACTGGCCTTGTTACAATCATCAACCACCTCCAAAACATTCCACAATTCAAATGTATTCACTTATTATATGCTTTCTCTAAATCAAACATAAAACAAACTTTATTTGTCTCATATTTTTGTCAGAGACCTAGTCAAGAACAAAAATCTTATATGTCCATCCCCTACCCAGCATAAATCTGCATTGCACTTTCCAAATTAGACTACCAAAGTTGAGTACAATTTTAAGGCACTTGGAATGAAATCAAATTTTAAAAATTTATCAAAAATAATATATTAAAAGAAATCTAAAAGACAAAAAAAAACTGATTTACTGAGTTACTACAGCTATTAAGCAAAATACCAATTATTAAAAATAAAACTGGTAAAATACTTAAAATGTAAGTCAATAGTGACTAAAATGTTAAGCTCCCTTGGCTCTTGCATTGTACTACAGAAAGGAAGAGCTTACCATCAACCACAAAACAACTAAATCATAGTATTTTGAAAAGATTCTTTTATTCATTGTTACTCCTGGAATATTAACAACACTAGCAAAAAACAAACCAGATCATTTAAATATCTAGGAATTCTATTTCAGTTTGACATCCTGCTCCGAACAATTGAGATCCCTGCCTCTGAAAGGTCAACATATGATGAATACTGCCCTCCAGTTTGCTTCATGAAATGGCAATAAGTACATCATAGTTGCAAATAAAATCTTCATAGGCAAGGATGTGAGTCATCTTCTCTATGGCCCATAGCTCTGCAGCTATTGCAGTGTTGCCCTTACAGAAGCTGTCTAATCAAGAGTATATGTTTTTCCAAGATCCAGTTTTGACATTACTAAAAAATTGTGGTATGTTCCAAAATTAGCATATCTCATCATTGTATCCTTCTCTCAATCACAAGATAAGTCATAATTTTAGATTCATATTGATTCCTTTACATGTCTGCACATAAACAGATTTATGTTTTATACCATATATTCCAAACAACCCTTTTCTAAGCAGATATTCACCAGACAATCATGATTTTTATTTATTATGGGACTCTGAGTGGCCCAATATCTTACTTTTGTATTTTCTCACTCATCAGTTCATGTCACATTACAGAATAACATTTACCCACAGCATGCATTCATTGAGAATGTTATACATCTTTTCCTAAAGATCATTGTGACTCCATTCATGCCACTATTATCAACATATGAATTCCTACATTCATACACACCTGTAATAAGATAGATTACACCAGTTCATATTATGATATGCCTTTTTTTGCCTTTTATTCATAATTAAACCTGTATCTTCATTTCCATACAAGTGTTCATCCATTCCGTCCTCAAACAATAAGGAAAGCACAACAAGTGTAACCAAAGTCCAGTTTTATACCAAGCATATTCACATATTCTGTCCATGTTAGGATCTCTAATCTCGCAAGCCAACAGTTTGTTGCCCATATCCCACCAACTGGAAATATATGCAATGTCCTGCATACTCAAGATAACAAATGTCCCAGACAAATACCTAATGTTTTTATATAAAATGTTAGGAAGCATTTTTTGAACATTATAAAATTCTAAGTTTTAAATTGAAACTCTTTCTAAGCTCTTTCAGCCAAAACAAATGCATCTGCTTTAACCATTCTATCAAACACTCTTGATAGTTTAATTACCAGTGTGATGCATTACTTAGTTCTGAGATATTTAAGAACAGTTAAATCATTTTGTGACTAGTTTCTTTCTTTTGTAATAGGCTTTACCATTTACCATGCAATAGGCTGGGAAAATCTACCAATTTATCAGATTTACAGTTTTCCAGTCCACAGCTTGGGATCTGTAAACTACTTATTCTAATTTATTCCTAGCTACTCAAAACCATGCTGAATAAAGTCTTATGCTGTTTGTTTTTTAAAAATATATAGGATACAGTTCTGGTATGCCTCTCATTTTCAGAAATAAAGACTACGTTACCTGGAAACCTTCATACTTCAAACTCCTAGAAATTAACACCCATTAATTTATAGCACAATGTAATCTGAAAGGACAATTGTCCTAAAGTTGAAAGTAGAAATAAATAAAAGATGCTAAACCAAAGGAACTTGCAGAAAATATAATTTCACATACTAAGTATCCTGTATATAACTGTTCATGCTGCTAAATTGGGTGTTTTAAGTAAATTATTCAAATGTTGTTACAAGCTATATTATCATAAATATTCAAGTATGGTCTCACTAAATTTCAAGGATATTTCCTTAAATAATTATTAATGTTTTCTATATGTTATCTTAAAGTATTCATTTTTAAGGCATATTTGATACAACCTTTACAGCAGTGTTTCTTAAGCTTGGCAACTTTAAGATGTGTCAACTTCAACTCCCAGAAGTCCACACATCTTAAAGTTGCCAAGTTTGAGAAACACTGCTTTAGAGCTTACAATATTTCCTTGGATCTCAGTCATTTTGCAATAATATTCTATGGCACAATCTGATACATATCTATTCAGAAGCAAATATAACCAGGTTCTGCAGTGGTTACACTCAGGTAATGTCTTGGATTAAAGCCCAGTACTCACATGTTTTGGAATCTCGGTAAGCTATGCAGACATGTTATACTTGCCTTTTTTTTTTCAGAATATACCAATAAACATAATAAACATAATACTGTTCTTCAGAATCAAGCTCTGTTTTCTGTATCATAAATACTTGTATGTATGAACACTAACCTAGGCTTTCTCTTGATAGGATATCTTCTGACCTTGCTATTTTGGAAGGATATGTTAATGTTCTTTGCCTGAAAATTGAGAAAACTATGAAGTATTTGTTGTGAATCAATAATCAATAATAGACAGAAATCACTTGACAACATAAATGGTTAAGATCCAGACTTAGTTAAATTTGGACTAGACCTATTGCAATCAATAAGATATAAGCTAGTCATAATGAATTTGGATTGCAACCTATTTCTAACTATAACTAAGCTTTAATATATAAGAAAAATATTGATAACTATTTGTGAAGAGTACAGTCTCATTAAAACTCCAATTAGTACCGGTGAGAATAACTTACAATGATATCTGTGTATTATAAATCATACTACTTGTTTAGATTGAATTAGATTTTTATGACTGACATTTTCTACAAATCCTGAGATATAGATGCAAATCTACCTAGCTGAAGAGTCTACATTGTATATAATGAACTCTTAAGAGCCAGCTTGAAAATTATGTATTTTATATAATTTTGAAAGGTAAACAGCTATGAATATATAACTTAAACTCAAACTATGATATTTTAGGTGTATTTTTTTTAGCTTTAAGTTGAAGGTTTCTCTCAAATAAAGTCTTCCCTTTTAAGCCTTAGGGCACAGTGTCATCATTTTGGAAACAAAACAGAGATTGCATTGCAACGTACATTATATATTTATTGAAATATTTCTATTCTCTCTTGCACTCCAATGTTTCTGAGATGGCTAATAAAATTTTTAAGTTAATTAGCATAATGGGATGAATTCAGATTTAGTTGCAGTAGATCCACTGGAATCTATTACTAATTTAGAGCACAATCCTATAGTATACAAGATCGGCAGGAAAGCTCCAGCTATGGAGTGGGAACCAAACTCAGAAATTCTTTTCTTCTTCCCATGGAGGCTTGGAAATTGATACTGCCTAATAGGTGATATCATGCCAAGAATAATATGAGGATATTAGATAATATCTGTCTGCTACATCAAAAGCCCTTGCTAGCTGACATGTCCCCAAAACAGCCTTTAATTTATGTCAGTTATGAGTTTTAGTGGATTCTTTCCCTTACATTGATTATAGCAAGAGGGAATTCAGAAAAGGGGAGAGGGGAGGAAGATGTGCACCTCCTCCCATACCTCTACCCTGTCAGCAGTAACCTACTGGATGATGGCTTTAAGCTTTATCAGGCAGGATTATTCTGCTAAAAATTTTCAGTGGACCTACTTTATCCAGTGCAGGCATTGTGAGGAGCTTTCCCAAGCTTAAGCTGTCCTTTCCTAAAGCAGAATGCACTAGTCTTATTGAGTGTTAATATAGCTCATATTGATCTCCATTAAAACTGGCTGGCTGTACAACTGCAAAGCAGAGGGTGGTGTCAACTATGCTAGCACAATATTATCTGTATTATCATCCTCTGTACAGCAATTCTTAACTGAATGCTTGCTTGCGTGATTCATTAATAAACCCACATGGCATGAATAGCATGCACACTCACTGTCCAGCAATATACCAGGCCAAAGCATTGTTTGGAAGTTACAGAAATAAGATAATAATAAAATCCTTTTGAAGGAGGGAACTTTCATGATATATGCTGGGTATAAACATCTTGTCATGCTTGGTATGCATTTTGAAATAAAGTGGGTGGAAAGTAGAGATAGAGTCTTTCAATTATTGACTATTTAAGATACCATATTAAAATAGCCCTTTTGGGGGGGTTCATATGGGTTTTAATGGTTTTGGTAGCTGATCTGATTTGTTGATGCTGAAATATACTGCTGCTTTATCTATTTAATCATTTGATAGTTGCATCTTAAACATGCTATATACCACTCTAAGGTATTTTATCATAGGGCAGGCTAAGTATATTTAAATAAATAAAATACATGTAGCTCCATATCCTGAAAAAAAAATCAAGATACAGGAATTAGCTATCCATATTCATGTATCTTTCCTAGCTAGTGAAAACCACAATCTTTTAAGACACCACGTTAGTGGAGTATTCATAGCACTAGTAGACCATCAGAGGAATAACAAAATAAACTTACTTTCTCTTTCTTCCATTTTTGCAGCTAGTTTTCTTCCCACATATTTTTGTACAACTTTTTATCTGAGAAACATAATAAACAGACTTTATTTGTGCATGCACACTATCTTTAATGGCAGTCAACAGCTATTTCAGAAGTATATAGTTTACCTTTAATGTCAATACCTGTTCCCTTATAGGTGTTATTTTTGTTCATAAATCAAATTTCATGGGTGGGTTGACCCATTATATTAAACTATGTATTTGTGTAACATGAATAAGTTGCAATAGATTTCAACCTTGTATTTTTCCCCCCTACCTGGATTATAGAATAGGATGGTTGGAAGCTTTTTTTTCTCATGGTTAGATAATCACAATTTCTTGTACTATCCAAACCATGACTTTGGTTAACTATAGTTAACACTTGACTAATTCATAACTGAATTTGGCTTATCTTAAATTAATTGACATTAATACAGTTTGTTACTCCAGATGACATGATAAACTGATAAACTATGGTCAAATAAAAGTAGAAGTTTCTGAAGACCTCTTGGTTGTATAGGACTGGAAATTAAATGAGAATGAAGCTTCCAGCATCTTATCCATATCACACAAACAATATTTGGAATTATGTTCAAATGCTATCTATAGTTATATTTTTCCTTTAGGTATTTACTCCCTTTCACTCCCCCCCTAAAAAAACAAACCTGTTCTCTTTGAATTATTATTAAGCATGATAGGATAATAAAAATGAATTAATTATATCCATTTTCATTGTAATATAAAATTCTTACTGGTATTTTTTGTAAGCTACTAATTTCATTTTTATAAATAAATATCCACAAGTTGCTAAACAAACTCAAGTTTCAGATCAATAAAAATGTACCAATTATGACAGGAAGTAATACTGCTATTTAGAAAGAACAGCTGAAAGCAAATATTGCAAAGGAAAGTTGTCTGATGATCAGTTAAGATTGTAAGAATTTATATTTAAATCTTACCATTTTTCTACATTTTATTCTATCAATTTTTCTTTTGGCTTCTTTGTCACTTACTGTACCTAAAAACCATTATGAGAATAGTTAAGGAACAAATGAATTATAATTGCTAGCAAATTCATGATTTTGCATAATTGTTTTTGATCTGTGCTCAGGTTGTAATAACAAAATATACTATTGAAATATAAATTATATTTCATTATACAAAAATAGGTTTCATGGTACTTTTTTATACTGATATAATTACTGTACTTTCTTTATTCATTTATTAAATTTATATGCCGCCCAACTCCCCCAAAGGGTGACTCTGGGCAGCTCACAATTAAAATAAAACCCGAAAACAGTTAAAAATATAAATAGCCACATTTAGTTAAAAAGTTGAACTATGTAAAAAGACCATATACATAAAAAGACTAAAAAACATTCAAGATGATGGGGGGGGGTAGAATCAATTACCCCTCGAGCCAATTCCAATGGTGTGAGCCCCCATCCGCCTCCCAGGCCCTTTGGCATAGCCAAGATTTCATATTTCCATAAGATTTCTGTCCATCTACATATTCTTTTATGGTAGCTTAATCTACAGTACTTTTTTTATAACAGTTCTCATATTATAAAGATAATAGTGTTATGGAAGTAAGAATCTATAAGAAACCTACTCAAGAGTATCACATGGTAGACTGTGATACCATGTCCCCTGGAGGGACATGGTCCAATTTAGAACTTGGTTAATATCACATGATAAATAAATCCTGACTTCTGCAATAAGCACCCAAAGATGTTTTAAAGAGCTGTACTGATAACAACAGAGGTCTAACTGTAGGAACCATGTATTTCTTTAAAGGTTATATCTATCACGCAAAGTGTATAGGTTCCTAAGTGCATAACATAGGTTATTCTGAGCTGGGTATTTATTTATTCATTCTTTTATTTACTTATGACCCTTCGGTTGATTTGATACAGGAATCATTAGTATCTAGCCAGTAAAGATACTACCATTGATTGCTGCCATAATTCCTGGGAAAAATATTTGCACAGATAGAAATCCAGATGTTTGTGTATAATAACAACTAAAAGGCCAGATAATTGTACCCTTTTTTGATAGGTAGCATTTGTTGAGCCTTTGCTGTGTAGAACATGCAAGCAATTTGTTTGCCTCTTCCAATGCACTCTCATACCAGGCTTTTTTCCTCTTACATACATCTGCCTATGGAATATACATATAAATATATATCCAGTTATGTTATTAATCAATATTAGATACATCATTATTTTTCTAAACTTCTCAATATAAAATGTGCAGAAAATTAAACTTTAAAAAACACATGTGGTTAGTCACATGTTCTATATAGGCAGCTGCAGGAACAATGAATATGCAATTTAAATAAAACTTGAAACTATTTTAATTTTAGAAAAAGGCATTACTTTACATTGAGCAACCGGAGGGAGGAGGATTAAAGCAAATGTTTGTAAAAGAGAAAGAGAAAGATGGCTGGTGTGGCAGATTTGAGGTGCTACTGAAGGAAAGCCTTTTTTTCCCTTAAACAAAGGAAAAGATATTTGCATTTTTCTTTTTTGTTTTTGGCTCAGATATCAAAATTTCTTTGGCTGATCCTGCATTACAGTCTGCCTAGTAGGGATTTACAACTCTCTTTACAACTCTCTTTACAACTCTGGCTCTTACAGTTTAATAAGGCTAACATGTCTACACTGTGGATTCTTAGGTCAACTATATATGCAAACAACTCTTTATAATAGATTCCTACAGCAATTTACAACAATAAAGTTTTAACATGGATATAGGAAGTAACCCGTTAACATATCTATTCTTAATTTTGTACTATCTCACTAGGTGAGTTTGATAACATTAATTTGTTTTGAATGAGACAGAAATATATTTTCTGAGGTGAAAAGAAAACTGTAATGAATGCCTAGTGAGAAGGATGCTTGCTACTGACATATGGGAAATAATAAGATTTTGCAATTCAGTGTAAGGAAATAGATTCTCTGTGCAGTGTACTATGTCATAACATGGCTTGTTTGGTCTGGGCTTGTGCGAACCCAGTATAGTTTATTCAATAAATCAAGTGTTAAAAACCATGTCTTGCAATGTGTATGTGTAAATATGATTTTAATAGAATTGACTAGATCTCTTGAAGCAGGACTATGGAAGCAATATGACTTTGTACATGGCCTTATAACATAGCTGCTTCTGCTATATACAGAATGATTTGTTTTAGTTATTATTCCATCTTTCTTATAATCTCATTGCACAGAATTGTACTATTGAAGCCTTATGGAAAAAATAAAGCATTATTCAATGCAGTACTTGCACATCAAAAGATGTACTGCAACATATTGCTCAATATAAACATATGAACTTAACTGAAATAAAATTTATTGCTTTAAACTGATTGGAAATCTTCAGGTCTATAATATAGGCTACAAAGAAATTTAATCTCAGAGCATTACCTTTATGTTTTGGCATTAAACAAATTTAACAGAAATGTCTTTAGCTTGTTGCTAGGCATTAATAACTAAACTCAGCATCGAATCACCGCTTATGCAGAAACCACAAATTACAATTCCCTTAATAATAAAGATAATGGGCTAGAAGTTATTAATATTTTCTATTTTTACCATCCTCTTATCAACAGACTATGGATTGAAGCATAAGAGTTTCATAGTTAGATTTTTCCCCTGTGGAAAGATATGGGGCATACCAGCCTGTACGGGAAAAAATTAACATCAACAGTTTGTACTATTTATTCTAGGAAACACAGAAAACAAAAGGCCAGTTTAGCTGTTGAATGTGTTTTGACAACTGTCTCAGTTCTAAACCAATTATGGACTCATGTTCTTCAATTACTAGCCACACCATTATTGGTTTTCTGAGGGAAAAGTGCACATAGTTTAAATAAGTCCAGTACTTAGTTGTGTCATCAAATACTTCTAGTACAATCTATTTTCTTTTTCTTACATACAAGCCATAGTCAGATGAATGCTGTTATCTTGTCTCACTCATTTATTCCTCTCAGTGAAATCTTCAACAAAGTTAACTATAAACATTCCTTTAACCCATTAACTCCTAAATATTCCAAATAAGTTTTTAAATAGAGGAAGCTAGCCTCCTCCTTCCCCACCCTGGTGTATTTGCTATGTAATAAATCAAACGAAATGCAAAATAAGAACACAAAAAATCATATTTGTAATCTTTCAACTAAAAAAAAAAATCAAGTGAAATTACTATAAATTGGAATGTTATGCTAGATATCTGTACTTGATTCTATTAACTCAATTTTGTTTTCTGAATAATTTGAAAAAATATATATTTTTACTTTGATTCCCTTGTTTTTTAAATAACTATGTCCAATGGAAATACATTTACTCTTTGAACCCTTGCAAGTAAAATGTTATATCAGTGGCTTTTCTTTGCTGCTCAGCAGCATCTGATTTTGTAACACCTTGCTTGAAGAAGAGATTTAGAAATCATGTACATTTTGTCACATTAGAGTTGCCTAATAAAACAATCTAAAATTAGAAAAAGATCCATGTATTTCAATGTCTTTACTTTGTAGGAGTAGTGTTACACTTTTTCCCCTCACTACAACATCTGCCTCACTATTCTGGCATATGACACACTCCCCAGCCTGTTTTTTTTTTTTTTTAACAATTAACTTAAATCTCTTTTATGTTTGCATTATTTCCTTCCACCATCACTTTTAGGGAAACTTTGAACCACAAACTTGTGTGTTGCATGCATCCACCTGAAAGAGTTAATTTATGATTCAGTGTGTCACGCAAATCAAAAAGATTGGGCTAATACAGTTAACCATGGTTCACCTGGCCAAGTGTGCTGTTCAAACACAATTTTGATAATTAGGATGATGGTCAGATTTTATGCCTAATTATCAGTGTGTACAGCAGTTTCACATCTGTGAATAACTTTTTAAAAAGACTTGCACAGAAATGCCAAGGTGCATGACTTTATTTAACAACTTGCTTCTCTTACAGCAGTATTCTTATGGCATGTTACCTGTTGTCAAGTAATAAAAGCACACATCATTATTTTTCAGACTCCTCCTACTTCTTGTAAAATTTCAACACAATGCAGTGAAGTGGGACACCAGATTTTGTTATAAACACAATGATACTGTACTGAAAAATTAATATATTATCTGAGAGGAACAACTGCATATGAAAAAAACACTAGCTTAGGGTTTCCTATGAAATAAATGGCTCCAATATAGAGTTTGCTCAGGGAAATAATCTCTAATTATCAGGGAACATGTCATTTACATTATTCCAATTATTAAGTGATGAATAAATAACAATTTACTTTAAAACATATCAATGTTGGTTAGAGCTATGTTAACATGAGGAGGGAGGCTGAAGTTATACTGAACTACCATTTTCAATCATCGGGAAGGTGTGCTGGCAAAAGGAAGAACAGAGAGGACAATTATTTTCTTCTTTTTTTTCCAAGGATTTTGTAATTAAAAATGTTTTCATATTGATTTTTGTCATAGATGGCTGGAATGAACTATGCCAACTACCAGCTGGCTTGAGGATCCTGATCCTGGTGGAAAAAAAGTTGCTTTGCATTCGAAGAGAATTCTAGTGTACATCATATCTCCCCTTTTGATTTCTCCAAAGTCCTTAGAATTTTCTATTGGTTGTAATTGGGGCCTCTGAGGAGACATTACTGATTGAACTCCTCTGTGTCTCATCCCTCCAGCCAGTTGATCTGGGGACTAGGATAACCACCAGAACTTTATACCTCACAATAACTTTCTAAATAATGCACATATTTTAAAATTATGACACTGTGCTACATTATTGCAGAGATGAAATCATTTTGCATATAATACTAGAATACAATAAGGAGTTTCTAATAAAGTGAGAAAAAATATGGAAGCAGGCTAACAGAAATTTGATTTATTAATGGATGTGTGCCACCTTGTGGTGGAACTCTTTATCATTCTAAAATAATATGTCTCACTAGGGCAGAATAAAGTATAGCTCATTTAGTTAAAATAGATTAAGAGTGGAAATGTAGAGCTGCTGAAGAACATTTTGCTCCATCAGAATTTTCACTTACTACAAAATGGCACTTTCCATAATGATCTGTTTTCTGTTAATTAAAAATGAATTGTCTTCCACTGCTTCTTAAATTATTTCTTTGAATATTTACTTGGGTATTTTTCTTGGTGCCATTTTGAATTTATATTGGAGATGCATCTTTACATTTGATTATTCACTAAAATGTTGCTATCCAGATCAATTCTATAAATATATGTGATCCATATATTCATCCACATTAATTACCTAACATCTACTCTATTAGTAACTAAAAAAAATGGAATGAAAATCAATAATTACTATAAACATCCATGTAACATCCAAATGTATTTGAAGATCATTGCTGCCTCTACATTTGTGAAGATTTGGGATGCTTAAAAATGTTGTAATGGTTCTGAAATACAACTAACATCAGAATGTTGTATGGACTTATATAAAACTGTGTCTGTATTAATCTACATTTCCTAAATTTCTATTACTGAATGTTTACATTTTACTGATATTACTAATTGATATGGACATATGGAGGATTAAAATTTAAACAAATGTTTTAATAGTTTTTAATAATGGCTGGTGTGGGTCTTCCGGGCTGTGTGGCCAATCTCTGTCTAAAAGCATGAGGAGAAAGAGAGAGAGAGAGAATGAATCAATGTACTGTCACTCA